ACTTCAGTACTGGCAGCTTTAGTACTTTCAGAATCTTCTGTAGAAACTATGCTTTGAAAAACTCTTGATACAATATTCTTCTTTGCTTCAGATGCTTCTGCTTGCTTCAGATTCTTCTGGAGCTTCTGCTTCAGAATCTTCTGGAGCTTCTTGCTTCAGATCCTTCTGGAGGCTACGCTCAGGAACTTCTGTAAGCAGCAATCAGAATCTTCTAATGAATGCATCTGGCGCTTCAGAGTCTAGATAACTTCTTGTATACAATTCAGATTTGCTTCTGGAGTGTTAATTTCATTACAATCTGCAGTAAAAATCTCAAGCAAATTTTAGAGTATATAATTCTTAAATACAAAATTTCCTAACAGTTATCATCAAAACAAAGAAATATTATAAGAATCAATCTGTGTTCTAACAGTTCTCTACCATTTCGTCACCAGTACCTTCATCACTACCATCCTCGACGACATCTTTTTTTCTTGCTGCCTTAGTATCATCAACAACAATGGTTTGATTTAAAGGAGAGTTACTTGCGTCAACCAGGGTTGCATCTTCCTCCATACGAGTATCTTCTTCATTTGCTACCTCCAGAGTCTTTGGTGCATTGTCTTCTTCATGGTCGGACCCGTCGGTTTGGGACTGTTGGGTAGTTGTTTTGTCAAGCGAAAGAGGAGCTGTGGCATATTCAGGTTTGTTAATTTCGCCAAGAGAACTCATACTAGAGCCCAAGTCAGATATGGGATGATAAGTAGGCTCACTTTGGCTGTTTAAAAGAACGGATGGAGAAGGAGACTTGGTTGAGGCAGGTTTCGAACCTCCAACACCAGCCTAGATAAAGAAGAACCAGACGTGAGAAGCGAAGACAAGATATAAACAAAACAAGACTTCGAGAAGCACTTAGACACATGGTATACCTTAGTGTCCCTATCAGCAGGACTCGAATTGTCGCTCTCGACAGAGATGATGGTTGGAATCGAGGCACCTTCAATAGGAGCCTCAGCATGAACAGGGGTGGTTAACTTTAGAGTCTTGACCGTCAAAGGGGCAGGTGGGGTACTAATAGTATCCATCCCTTGACTGACTTTCTGCCTCTTCTTCAGTTGTAAATCTTCAAGAGGAGATTCGTCATCATCCTCTGAGTCAATAATTATTTGGGTGGAAGCCCTCTTAAGTTTCTTTTGAGGTGTGGGTGGCTTGCGAATCACCTAAGACATTAAGGAATATTAGAAGCAGCCAAGAGAGTTAAACCCACACAGGCCTATAGAGAATTACCTTAAGGCCTTCGACTTTGCCTTCAGTTCTTGGTGGAGGATTAATCTGGAAATGGAGGGGCAAGAGCCACTCCAAAATCAGCAGTTGGCTATCGAGGGATCTTTGGAGGAAATAAAGCAAAAGCTACCTTATACCGTTTCTCACGAGGAACGTATGAAGAGATTTTCAAATTCTCCACTTTCTTTGAAAACTTTTCCTTCAAAGTAACAACAGCCTCATGGATAGTTTGACTAACATCATCTGGTCGATAGGTGGTTTCAAAGTGCTTTCGGAAGGCTTGAATCTCTTTGATATATGTAGATGTACCTTTCTTGATCTTCTCCTGCACATCAACGAAAGCTTGGTCAATCAAGCGAACAAAGCTTGAAACGTCAAGAAATTTTGAGGTATAGTGTCTGGACCATTAGTTGTAGAATTCTTGGGAGTAGAGATACGAAGGTTCAAAATGAATGGGTGTAAAGAGGTACTTGTGAGTGTGGCGAGCTAAGTGTGTCGAACATTCAATAAGGTTAAAAGCAGTGAGGGGAAGGATAACATGGGCCTTTTATCATACAAGCATTTAGGAAAGGTCTGAATCAAACCAAATTGCCTTGATACTAGGTTAGGATGATAGGCCACCAAAGATACTTGGCCTCTGAGAAGGTTAAGTTTGTGAATTATCAGTCGAGGTGTCAGAAATCTCTCCCAGACAAGTTTTGACTCTTCTTCTTGTTTTTTAAGCAAATGAGGGAAAGTTCTAGTAAACCACTAAGGGTCATACTTCCTCTCTGCAAATGGAGCCATCCTCGGAGTAAACTCATGACATTTTTCGAGCATCTAAATGAAACCTGAAAGGTTGGCTCTGAGCGTATGTCCTTCTTCACTTGGGGTAAGTTGAATCAGTCGAGTCCATTCGACTCATCTTTCTGACAGCAGTGGACTCTTCATCGACTTCTCCTTTGTTTGGGAGGCTGGTTTCAAAAGTGGTGTTGAGCCATAATTGAAGTAACCAGAAAGGGCCTGATAATAACAGGTTCCCGCGGCTTTCCTTGTCCTTCAGCCTGCCAGCGCCTTCACTGAGGGATTCGTACAGGCTGGCCAGGATCATCTCACTCAGACAAATGCCTCGATTCAGATGCAGTTGATTAGCCAATGTGAGGTACTTCCGCGCCACCTGCAAAGATTTCGTACAAAAAACACAGCGAGATAGCCACATGGCTAGAAAAGCTATATGTTCTTCATCATCGACTGTAGTTGTGTTTTTATCATGGTAGTGATTAATGAAATGGGTATAAGTGTGTTTTGTGTTGGAAAATCGTATGGTGTCTTGGCAATCTACCTCAGGGTCATAAATCAGTCCATGGGGTTTCAGCCCTGTGATAGCGGCTATGTCGAACAGTGTTGGTGTCATCATCCCACATGGGAAATGGAAGGTATAATGGACACTGTCCCAGAAGTACAATGAGGAAACTATAATGAGAGGGCAGTAAGTTGGGCCGGCCTTCGACATCATGATCAAATCATAGATGCCAGTTTCTTTCCAGTCGTTGGCCTTGATTTTCTCCATCTTTGTCAGCCAATTTAAATAAAGGTCGGAATCTTTGAAGTAGGGGGTGGCTTTGAATAACCTGGCTCCACCGTTAAGGTATTTTAGGATTTTAGGTCTACATGGTAGAGGGCTAAACTATCTGGGCCCTCACTAGGAAGTTTGCTGGAATCCTTTTGCCGAAGGGTTTGGTCTTACGGTAGGAAGGAACAAACTCACTAAGATTGGAATAGTTGAGACCCAATGGCGACAACGGACCAGACATAGCCAAAGGTTTACCTGCAACAGTAATATGAATTATTACCTGGGATTCGTATATGTGCCTCTTCTCTTTTAGTAGGGGTTCATGGATGAACTGTTGATTCTTCACTATTTTTGGCCCAATCAATGTAGCGAAAGGAGGAAGGAGCGGTGCAACTGATTGTCCTTTGATTTGTGTCTTCTTATTTTGAGCATGGTTTCCAGCCATAGGTGATATCATTGATGAAGTTCGGGGAGGAAATGGGTTTTTGAGAGTTGGAAGAGGTCTGAAAAATACGCGGGTATTTGCTGAAGAGTGGAAAGGTTGGAAATGATTTTTTGAAGAACAATTTATAGGATGTTTGGAGACCAAAAGTTTTTTTTATCATTAGTGGCTAGAGATAATGGGCCACGTGTTGTCCCAAGATAAAGAGATGGCGCGTGGCAGTTACTACCTATACCCATGATTATCTTAGGCCCTAAAAAGAATGATGATGGTTTGAGGATTTTTGTGAGTTCCAAGAAATCTACCATAATGACCCATGACGTCAGGAACGTGCACGGAGATAGTGGAACAGTTTCCTGCTTTTTCTTTCTTCTTTCTTCTCTTGTCTTCCCAGACTCAGGTAGTCAATCACATTGATGCTTGTGTGAAAGTCGAAATGACGACGTCAAATTGAACGCTAGCAAAAAATGGTTATTTTTCTACATAAAGGTCGAAAAAGACATTTTTGAGGGGCAATTTGTTAGCTCACAAATTCGACGCCTCATATATATAGGTTAAAATATTTAAATAAAATATTAAAGTCTTTTGAGAGGGAAAGAGGTTTTCGAAGCCTTGAGGCCTTCGATTGGGAAGTTAAAAGTTGTGGGACTTAGAGAAAATTCTGAACCTTAAAGAAAGTAGCCTTCGCCCGAGATGCTGGCTGGAGATAAGTGAAGTTTTTGAAATTCAAATAATGGAGGGAGTAATTATGCTTTCCTAGGACTAAGAGGGACAAGTGGCGTTCGTTTGGCAAATGACTTCATGTATTGTGACACTTGTCGGAAGCTGATGGCCTTAGGAGGTTATTGTGTGTTGTAATTTACTATTTGTGCAAGTCACTCCTAAATTTACTCAAAGTATCCGAGTATAGAGAAAAGAGTTCAAGGAGAATGTACGTTATGTAAACACACCATCTTTACTTTCAATAAAGTTCAATTTACTTGCTTGACTTTACAAAGTTTTCCTTTACTTTTTCTACAATCTACCTCCTTCTATGCACTTTACTTTATCTTCGTCCTAAACCCCTTTCTAAGATCTCTATCTCTTTCCTTCTAAATTTCTATTTTCTCTTTCGGTTCAGTCGAACAAACACCTTTATGATTAAAGCCTTTTTCTAAACACTGTCGAAGTGTGTAACTTAGATAGATTTCAAAACAAAAACCTTTAGCACCTGTCATAGGATTAACTGATCGATCCTGTGAGTCACCAAAGTTAGATTTGGAAGATCAGCGGTTGTTTTCCATTTTTCAAGGAAAACAACATGCCACCTCTTTTAGTTCAAAGACAAAAGGTAAATTTCACTCAAAATTAAGAGACCTAAAGACTAATTATCTAAAATTTAATACTATAAAATAGTGCAGATAATATTAATTAAAGATAAAATTGATACAAATGACGCATTAAAAACATAAAACGACTTTAAAAAAAAATTATTTTGAAAAAGAGTAATATTTAAGAAATGCTAATAAAAGGTTTTGTAAAAGATTTTGAAATCTTAATCCAATAAATCCTAGATTTTACCAAATAAATAAATAAATATTGCATACTTACGAAAGACTTGTCGTTTTGAAGCTTCGCGAGATTAAACGACACGGAATATCTGGAAAGGGTATAGGGTTTTTCTCCAATTAGGGATCCAAAATCTTGATATTGGAATCACAAAATTCACAATCAAATCACTAATCTAAACCATTATCAACTGCAATGGTCTGCGAGAAATGTGAATCTCTCATCCTTTTCTTCAATCCATCCATATTTTTTTCTCTGTCGAAAATTCAATTGAGTTTCGTTAATTTGAATTGTGTTGCAGGTCAGAAGAAGTTATCAAAGGTGATAGTACCAGACAAATGGAAGGAAGGAGCCAGTAATACTACTGAGAACGGTGGCCGCAAGATCAACGAGAACAAACTCCTCTCCAAGAAGAACAGGTTCCCTTCAACTTAAACCTTCAATTTCTTGTTTATTTGTTTCAAAATTCGTTTCTTAGCTTTTAAATTGGTGATAAAGTTGCAATTTTTATGTCATTTGATTGATATAAGTTCAAATTTTGAGGCACTTGGTTGAAATGCTACTCGTGTTAGTTTGTTGAGGAAGAGCAATCTTCTTAGGAAACGGTAGAGTTGAACTTGCTAGGATTAGGATGAGATTCTACCCTTGACAAATAGGCTTTGATATTTTTAAGCTTCAGTTTAGGAGGTGCTATGCGTATTTAGTAGCTGTTTCGGGAATATTGATTTCAATACTCCCTGTACCTGTACGAATTATCTCACGTACTTGGTTTATTGCTTTTAACTTATTCTTCTTCTGTAAGGGTTCATAAATATTGACAATGGAATTGATACTGAATTCAATTGTTTTCACTGTTATAGCAATAAAGCATTGCGGTAATGAAATCTAATGATAGATACAGTGAACACACTAGGACGGTAATATCTAATTCGTGGGCTTGAAAGACTAAGTACAAATGGAATTGATACTGAATTCAATTGTTTTCACTGTTATACCAATGAAGCGTTTTAGCTTTTTATACGCCATGTTTTGTCACTGCATCTGTGCACATAGCTTGGACTTCTAAATAATCTTCATAAACAGTGTTTCGTAGTTGTGCACTTATACAAAGTAATTGTGGCTATCAGTATGGCTCAACATCTGTCCGAATTGTCAAGATTGTGGGTTTAGAATGAGTGACGTTGTGGAATAGAGTAAGTTCTGTCCAGTACATAGAATGTATAAGAGGGCCGTGCCATTACTTTTCAAAAGTGTTTATGCATTTAATCTTGTACTAATATACACGATTCTCAATACCATTGGCTAGTTTTTTGTCCAATTATATACCGTGCTTGACCTGTTGTTTAAAAGCCTCCTTTTTCTCTGTAAATTGTAACTTGTTATTTGTCACACACCCTGCATTTTTTTAATTATGTGAAGATTGTTCTTATTGTAAATTAATTCCTTGCAGATGGACCCCTTATGGAACTACCAAGTGCATCATTTGCAAGCAGCAAATGCACCAGGATGGCAAGTACTGTCACACCTGCGCCTACTCAAAAGGTGATATTTCATGTTCAGATGTTTTGCTTTTGCTGCTATACTGTATCATGAAAGTCCGTAGCTCAATTCCTGATGTGCTTTGTATTTGCAGGAGTTTGTGCGATGTGTGGCAAACAAGTTCTCGACACCAAGTTTTATAAGCAAAGCAATGTGTAGGGAGGGAGTCTGTGCTTCATTCCGCATATTCTAGGTGCATAATATCATTCCCTTTCTATCCAATATGTGTTGCTAACACTGTAACCAAAGATGTAAAAAATAAATACTGTGAGAATGAGGGGGTTTTCTATTTTCTGTGCCATATATGTAATTTACTGATTGAATGTTAACTCTTGATCTAATGATTACTTGTTTTAATTGCTTATCTTTAGGCTTCCTCTAAATGATGCGTGTTCATATTGAAGATTCTCTATTATAATGTTACAGGTTTGGACATATTGCAAAGAGGAAATGTTTAAATTATATGATTAGAGAGAAAATGCTTGATAATATGTGCATTCAAGAGTTCTTTGTGAATTTATTTGGGACTCTAAAGATGTGGATTTCTCTTTTCGTCTTTCAATCCTCATTTCATGAGGGGTTTTTACTCTTTGGAATCTTAATTTTGTTTTTGGTTTAAGATTAGAACATTTTGCATGAATAGTTAGAAATTTATATTTCTTATTTCTATACTTGCTTTTGATGGAATATGGTTCTGTGACATTAAAGTTTTTATTTCTAGTCTAATGTTAGCCTTCCATTGTAAAATTATGTTGATCGTGTGTTGAACTGGAAAATGTAGGAGTGAAATAAATTGAGTAAGTGAACTAGAGAAGGAAAATATTATATTTATGCAAACTTATGGCTGGACACCCTCTCGGTATGTTACCCATAAATTTTGATTCATAAATATTATATTATATTTATGCAAACTTATGGCTGGACACCCTTTCTGTAATATTTTTGTTTTATTTTATTAAACATGCAATTTGAACACTGAATTTAAAAAAAAATATAAAAAAAATGTTACAGAGAGATAACATTGACACTTAGAAGATTAAAAACATAAAATTTTAATATTTTAGGAAAAATATTCAGATTTATTTTTACCGGAAACAAAACTCGTTTACTTTACACGGGTTGTATTTAACCATAAAAATAAATAGTTATTTGCTAAAAAGTTTCTTTAAATACATATTGGTGGATGAGGTATTACTTCAAAATCACATGGTTACATGAGGTTACAAGGTAGTTGAGCTAGTTTGATGGATTGGAAGTAACGTTTGGAGTGATAAATGATATATAGCTCAGCTATTTCCACTAACTTAGTACGGATTGCTAATTAGTGATAATTCTTTTCATCTGCTAGCTTTATTATGCAAAACTAAATCCAAATTAAAAAAACAAATTGTATTAGAGAGTCGACAATCAATATAAAATTTTATTGAATTTCTTTGATATGAATCAACTATAAAATGATATGAATATTAGGCGGTTGGTCGTAAGCAATGCACTGTATGATTCGAGTAGAGTGTCAAAAGAGTAAGGGCAACTACATCAACACTTAGAGGCATTGGAAAATAAGTGAAGGTTTCCACATTCTCGCGAATAGGTGTAAGTAAAAAGTTAGTTCATGAGAGTAGAATTTGTTTTTTATCATAGAATGTAGGCACATTTACTAGAAAACTATGGAAATAGAGGGCACTATAGTTAGGAGAAAGATCAATTTTAAGTGTCTACAGGAAATTAGTGGAAGAAGGATATTGTGGATGTGAAAGTAATAGAAGATCAAATCACAACCTTGAAATTTGTAATGGAACAAAACACCTTTAATTTTATTAGTGCTTATAAATCTCAAGTTGGGTTAGCAGAACAACTTAAGATAAAATTTTAGGAGAATTCAAAAGACTTACTTCAAAATATACCCCAAAGAGAAAAGATTTTTTAAAGAGGGGATCTAAATAGACTTTTTGTAAGAGGTTTTTAGAGCTTGAATGAGAGTATGGTCTAGGGGAGGTGAATACAGACGGTAAATCTATCTCGGTAAATCTATCTTGGTGTTTTAGTTGACTCTTATTATAACAAATACCTTAAAAAAAGAGAACATTTTATCACATATAAAAGTGGAATGACATGTTCTCAAATATATTTCTTTCTTATTAGGTAGTTAGATAGAAAACTTTGCTTGGACTTTTAAAATTATTTCGAGGAAGAGATTGACTGCACAACACAGAGTATTGATTTTGAATGTACAGTTTAAGGGTGAAAAATAAGAAATTTTCCAACACAAGATCTTGGTGGGAGGGTTTGGAAAACTACAAGGAAGTAAAATAATATGTGGAATAAGATGACCAAAGAGATTATAAAAGTGGCTAAAGATACATTTGATTAATCAAGAGGTTTTCGACCTAGGAGTAAAGAAACATAAACGTGGTGGTGGAATGAAAATGTTAGAGTAAAGTTAGAGTAAAAAATGATTATTTTAAAGAATGGTCTTTGTGTAAAAATTCTAAAACTTGAGAATAGTACAAAAAATCTAAGAATTTGACTAAGAAGATGGTGAGTGGAGCATGAACTCAAACTTTTTACAAATTATACAAATCTTTAGGAATCGAGAAGTAAGAAAAATATGTATACATGCATGTCAAGGAAAGAGAAAGAAAGACAAGAGATTTGGATCAAATGAAATGTGTTAAAGATGAACAAGGTAAAGTATTGGTTAAAAAAGATATAAAGAATAAAAGGGAGTTGTATTTCTACAATTTATTTAATGAAGAATATGATATCTCACTAGATTCTAGTAGGCTCGATATTTGAAAAGAGGATCGAAACTATAATTACTACCAGCGAATTCAGAAACAAGAAGTAAAAACAGTATTAAAAAGGATGAGTAACAATAAGGATGTTGAGTCAGACAACATACCTATTGAAGTGTGAAAAGTTCTTGGAGATAGAGGTATTGAGTGACTCACCAAACTCTATAATGAAATTATGAGATCAAAGCACATGTCGGATGAATGGAGAAGTACTTTAACTTTAATCTATAAGAACAAGGAGGATATACAAAATTGTGCAAGTTATAGGGGAGTTAAACTTATGAATCATACCATGAAGTTATGAAAAGAGTGATTGAACTAAGATTAAGAAAAGAGACCCAAGTCACTGAGAATTAATTTAGTTTTATGTCTGATAGATCAACCATTGAAACGATCTATCTATTATGGCGTGTGATGGAGAAGTATTAAATAGACCAACAAGACCTGCACTTAATTTTTATTAACTTAAGAATGTGAACTTTAGAAACACATGGTTTTCATTTAAAAAGAAGTAAAATCGAATACAAGGAATGTAAGTTCAACAAAAGAAGTAGCATTTCTAACCGAAATTAAAGTTGGAGACCATATTATCTCTCAAGTTGCACTGTTTAAAATACAAAATCATGAAGAAATAAAATGATGTAACCATCAAATTAAAGCTAGGTGGTTGAAATGAAGAAGAGTTTCAAGTCTTTTATGTGATACAAAGGTACCACTCAAGTTGTAGGAAATTTTTTACTGGACTGCGACAAAATCTGCAATGTTGTAGGGGACAAAATGAATGTAAGTCTAATAGAGATGAGAATGTTGTGTTGGATGTGTTGTTAGATTAAATATGATATGATTAAAAATAAAAATATTATAGAATATTGGGGTAAAGGGAGTAGCTTAAATATGTAGACAAAAGATTATAAATTTTATGAAGGAGTAACTTAAATAAAGAGAAGTCAAATAATAATGGAAGACGAAAACCTTGAAAGACCAACAAAAAAGTTATAAGGAATATGATGATTTGAATAGAAACATCACACTAGATAAAACTAAAATTAATTCATATAAGTGATCCATTTAATGTGAAAGATTTGGTTGTTGTTGTCGTTAGTTATTGATAAAAGGCTTAAATAGTGTTGTGATCCATGTAAGTTAGTGAGTTTTTGCGTTTAGCCATTAAATATTTTTTTTTCAGGTCTGAGTCCTTATATCTCATGTTTGTGTTGATTTTTGTTCCTGACGTTAGTAGCCTGTTAAAAAAATGATGAGTTGGCTAACGGCGCTGACGTGGAATGACATTTTATTATTCTTTTTTTTAATATTTTGCAGACGTGAAATCAATGTTTTGGAGGTCATTTAAAATAGGACTAAATCAAAAAAAATTACCATTTGCATAATCTTTTTCCTCCTCAAATTATTTTTCTGCAGTTTTTCTTCTCTTCTCTATAACAGGTTGTTTACTGTGAATTTTGGTAAACAACCGCTGGTCTATCAATTTAGGATAAAATTGAGTAACTTGCAGGATCAACCATACTAAATCCTAGAACATGTGCTAAACGTGCAAAAGACCCTAATCTGAACTCCACGTTCGACTGTGAAATCTTTGTAAAGTAAAAATGACTTGAAGATTAAAGGCAATATGTAAAAATGCAATAATGTGAATGCTTTGGAAGTAAATGTTGAAAGTAACTGCAGTAGTGTAAAGGACTTTGAAAATAAAGGACTTTGAAAGTAAAAGACTTCGAAAATAAATGACTTTGAAAGCAAATGACTTTGAAAATAAAAGTGCAAAAGACTCTAGTTTGAACTCCACGTTCGACTATGGGATCTTTGAAAAGTAAATGTGGAAAAGACTCTAATCTGAACTCCACGTTCGACTATGAGATCTTTGAAAAATAAATGTGCAAAACGTTAAATTTGCAGGTTAAGGTAAAACGCAGAACGTTAAATGGCATGAAACGTAACTGAAAATAAAGTTGCAAAAGGGCTTGAAAAGGCAGTTTAAACGTAAAGGATGAAGGTTAAAACGCATAATAAGTAACAACACATAAATGGTAAAGACAAGTAAATTGCATTAATGAAAAGGAGTTGGTGTTATATCACTTACATTTTCGCTAACTCGTTTCTCTACACGCGGGTACATTGAGTGATTTGGAGTGACTAGTACAAGATGAATGAACACCCATATTATATAAAAATAACAACTTTTAATAATGCTAGTAAGTAACTACTACATGACGGTTATGGCTTCACAACGTGTCCTTTTGGCGTTTTTTTACAACTTCAACTGCTCCCACGTTCGCCCACTCTCAATTTGAAACTTAGACATTAAGAATTCCCTCCATCCTTCATGGTAACTGCCCTGCGTTCCTT